AATAATATCCCTCATTCCATGTCCTCTTCTGAATCCAGCTTGCATTTCTGACAGTTTCCTGTCAAAATACTGCTGCAACCATTTTTTAATTATCTTCAAGATTTTGCTTATGTGTGATATTAAAGATATTGTTTGATAATTTCCAAATTCTGTGGGATGACCTTTCTTTGGAATTGGTACAAATATGAACCTCTTCAATTGGCCAGTTAGCTGTCTTCCAGATTTCTTGGCATACATGAGTAAGTGCCTCCCGCGCGGCATCCTTCTGTTGAAACCTCTCAATGGGTATTCTGTCAATTCCTGGAGCCTTGTTTTTCACCAGTTCCTTCAGTGAAGGTTCAACTTCTTCCTTCAATACCATTGGTTCTTGATCTTAAGCCATCTCCTGAAATGGATGAACACTGACCAGTTCTTTTTGGTACAGTGACTCTGTATATTCCTTCCATCTTCTTTTGATGTTTCCTGTATCATGCAGTATTTTGTGCCCGTAGACTCTCAGTATTGCAACTTGAGGCTTGGACTTTTTTCCTCCATTCTTTCAGCTTGAGAAATGTCAAGCGTGTTCTTCCCATTTGGTTTTCTAACCCCAGGTCTTTGCACATTTCATTATAATGATTGACTTTGGTTTCTGGAGCTGCTCTTGCTGTTCAACTCTTTTACCTTGTCATTTCTTCCATTTGCTTTAGTTCAAGAGCAGGTTGTGGAGTCTCTTCTGACATATATTTTGGTCTTTTTTTCCTTTCTTGTCTTTTTAATGACCTTATGCTTTCTTCATGTATGATGTCCTTGATGTTACCCCACAACTCATCTAGTTTTCAGTCATTGATGCTCAGTGCATCAAACCTATTCTTTAGATGGTCTCTAAATTCAGGTGGGGTTATATTCAAGGTCATATTTTGGCTCTTGTAGACTTGTTTCAATTGTCTTCAGCTTCATTTTGAACTGGCATATGAACTGGCATAAGTTCATATGTTCATAAGTTCATAAGTTCATGAACTGGCATATGAACTGGCATAAGTGCCTCCTACCCAGCATCCTTCAAATGATGGCTTGTTCCACAGTTGGCTCCTGGCCTTGTTTTGGCGGAAGATAATGTGCTTCTCTCCATTGCCTCTTTCCACAGATATAGTCGATCTGATTCCTGTGTATTCCATCTGGTGAAGTCCACATGTATAGCTACCATTTATGTTGTTGAAAAAAACGTATTTATAATTAATAAGTTGTTGGTCTTACAAAATTCTATCATGCAGTCTCCGGCGTCATTTCTA